ATATATATACATATACATATATATATATATATATATATATATATATATATATATATATATATATATATATATATATATATATATATACATACATATATATATATATACATATATATACATATATATATATATATGTATATATATGTATGTATATATATGTATGTATATATACATACATACACATATACATACACATATACACACACATATATATATATATATTTATAAATATACATATATGTATATACATATACATATATATATATACATATACATATATATATATACAAATATATATAAATATATATATATATACATATATCTACAAATATATATATATATATATATATATATGTATATATATATATATATATGTATATATATATTCCAATATGTATTAGAAAATTATAATAAGTGGTTATAGGCAGAGAATAAAAAAAATATAACACATAAATATAAATTTATATTCATAATATAATATAAAAACATATAGCATCAGGAATTATTAATCAAATATATAGATTTAATTAATAATTTTACATGTTGTTGGATATAACTACTTCTATTTATGCTGAATATTAAGAATGTAATTATAATATGTAGAAATTAACATATCATTTGGGAAGCCATCCTAACATTTGCACCTATTAGTAATGACAACATCCAGCACATATTATTGAACTGCTGCCTCTTTGTTTTGCTTGTAAATGCTACTTCTGTGCATATTTATACGTCGTTGGACACTACAAACAAATACAACATATGAAATCCTGTGAGTCGGTCTCCTTCTGGTGGCATTCAAATTAATTCCAGTGACCAGAGAATGTTGTTTGTTTTAGTTACATAAGAAATTTCTCATTTCAATTGAAGGAAGCTCAACAAAAAACACAATTACCGGCCAAACATTCATGGATAATGGAAAAGGCCTCTGCATCTGCCAAAGTTCTTCATCTGTTCCAACAATATGGCTACAGCTTCAGTTGAGAAGGGGAGATGCCACCAGGATCCCTCCCTTCATCTTCTAGTTGTCCAAGGCCTTTCTCACAGTAGTTGCTGATGTGAAAATTGGTCACTGCATTCATGCCACATAGCTTGATAGCAGCAATATCATAGGCTTCTGCTGCTTCTTCCTCGGTTCCTGCCTCAGGAGAACACCTACAAAAGTTGTTACTTTAGGTAGTGTTGTTTTTGAAAATTTTCCTGTGATTTATGTAAAAAGTTGAGAACTTACTGAAGGTTCCTAGATAGAAATCTTTGTTACCAGCAACTCGGCCTATTTGAGCTTGCCATCTCCCATCTTTCTGCCTTCTACCATTCACAAAATTTTCAAAGACCTCTCCACTAGTATGTATGCGACATAAGTAATTTATACAAAGAAAATGGGGAATAAATGAGAGGCAACCTTGTCACTCCTCTATAAACAGAAGCTCCTCTGGAAAAACAACTGCTCCTCCTGCCAGATTAAATCCAAAATGAATTTAGCAACAACTAGTTTTAGAACAAAGGAATTACTAACCTTCTTATAGTGTACCTTCTCACATAAGTGACGCATTCTTCACGAGTCATGTTCTTGATATCCTCCAGTTCTTTCTCATAGTTGCAAACCTGTGAACACCCAGTCACGAAATTTTCAAACCAGCAAAAAAGGCATCAGGAGAATTCATAGATATTATATTATTTTGCAGTTGGAATTCTACTCATCAAAAAGAAAAAGATAAATAGTTTAGTACAGTTATAAAACAAAACTCACCTGGAAATTCAATTTAGTACCAATACCCCAGTATTTAAGAGGTGCTATATCATCGGCTCTTGCAGCTTTTTCGTGAGTCATAACTTCCTAAATGAGATTAATGTTGAATATTAGTCAGACCAGATGCTTATCACACATATTCAAAATTGAAATTGGAACAATATTTAGATTAGTACAACCTACCCAAGTAAACTGAAGCAGCATTGCAGCCAAAGCACCAAAAACCAGAACTACTTAATCTCAAGATGAATAAATGAAACAAGAAGAAAACTGAGTTAAATTGAGAAAAAGAGAGAGCTATCATAGTTTGTAATATTCACAATTGCCCATTGTATAGAAATTAGTCATTAGGTTTCTTTTGTCTTAATAAAGTTTACAATCTAATGAAGGATCCTCAATTTTGGAGAGAGAGAGAGAGAGAGAGAGCATGCAAAAAACCAAAGCACTTATTGTTATGGCAGGTTTATCTAACTACCAAGAAATAAGACCAAAAATTATAAGTTGCTGAGCTTTAGCAATTAGTGATTAAGACATATGTCTGCGTTCGAGGTCATTTAAATATTCATCAACCTAAATTCACCAGCTCAGACTCCCAGCAGATTCTTTTTCAGAAGTTGATCATTTCTTTATAAAAGAAACCTTCTGAAGAATAACTCAATACAGTTACATTACCATGTTTCATGAATTAGGTTAAGTGACATGTATGAGTGATGTCCATTTTCAGCGGTGACAACAAGGAGATGAGAAAATTTTGCTACATTATATTTTTGGCCATCAAGCTCTGCTGATGGTGCATCATTAATCAAGCTGAGTCAACTCTCTTTCTGTTGTTTCTGATAAATTTAATCTTCAGTTTGCCCTTGTCTTTCCTTGCATCATTAATAATAATCAAATCCTCTTCTAACTGGTACAAATATGCAGCTTGTTGGATGTATTCATGACACCTTAAACAATTTTAACTCTTACCAATTATAGGATAACAAAATTATTTAAGAATGTAAATGTTTCCTTTTCTATCTTTTCTAGCAACACTACACGTCCATCAAGGCTTGATATTGGATCCTCAAAATTATCCATTAATTCATCTAAGATGATCATATTATGATTTTGAGAAAAGTTTGGGAAAAATAAACTGCATTAATGACTTTATTGTGTTTACCATAGATGATTACACATGTGATGTGTTGCAAAAGCATATTCCACCAGCCTTAAGATCCACACAATGCAAAATTTGAATATATGAGGATGTTTATATAAGACGATGATACAGTGAAGGTTCAAATAGTGATAAGCTCAGGGAAACTGGTCTTAAAACCCAAGAAATTGAAACTTGGACTCCATGTATATTTACATATGATAAGATTCAGGTCTTTAGGATATTCCCAAAAAAAGGGTTACCTTTTGTTCCAACTCGATCACCCTAAATCAGGTATTTCTTGGATCATCATCTGACAGCGCAAAGTCTAGTCAGCACACAACTAATAACATGCCACCCTCACATGTGTTTCAGACATAGCCTTTTCGTGAAAAGATAAATCAAAAATTAAAATCCAGAAACATGAGTGGAAAAGATCATATAAAAGCACAGCAAGCAAGATGAGTGCTTGAAATTTCACAAAGGACTAGGCACTTCTGCAGTTCTGTGACTTGGATGTCCTTTGCCTTTCACTGAACTATATATTTCATGACATTTAGATAGACGAGGTTAATGAAATCAGAAATATTAGTAAACAGAAACAAAAAAGCACCTCTATTAGAAGACAAATGAAAATTTGACATCTACCTTGTTTTCCTTTACACCTCCGACCTTCTAATCTACAAGTGTTATCCCACAAATGAGCTTCATATTTCCCACTCCATCTGTGCCTGAAATGTCTTTTAATGTTATACATTTTACGAATAATATCCATTACACAAACAGAAGTGTTGTACTCCATAAACACTAAAAAAATTATATTGCTGCCATCATCTATTATCGCAAGTCAAGTGATCATCAGACCCAAAAAAACACACTGGATGAAAAGATAATTCAAATAACTAAATCCCGACATATTCCCTTTTCTGACTAATAACTCATTATCATAAAACCTAGAAAAGACTATCTTTAGCTCACCTAGTGACTCCATGATGTATTGACGATCGAGGAATGGCCACTTTTCTGAAAGTGGAATTGGCAGGTTCAGTGCAATCCTTGTTTTCCAAACATGTCTTGTTGCTTGTAATTGGTAGCATCATCCAGACAAACTTCAACAGTGGTGGCCTCTGAGGATTCAATCTTCTCCACAGAAGCAATACATGATGGTAAGGAATCAGCATTATCCTCCGCACTCATGCCATGATCAACCTTCCTTTCATAGGTCTTGTCAGAATTGGTAGCAGTAGAACCCCTTGTGACACCGAAGGAAATTTCTTTCTTCAAAATTCTGAAACAATCTATATTAATTTCTTTGGTTCTGTGCCCTGAAGGAAAATCTCTTCTTGCAGTAGAGCTACACAATATCAAATTTGATTTGTAGGTATCAACTTTATCCACATCAGCGCTATCATCACCATTGTCCAAATTCTTCTCGTTGCAGAAATTGGAAAAAAAAAAAAACCACAAGAACTTTTGCCTTTCAAAGAGCCATCTTTTGTTGAAACATTGCCGTCTAGAGAGCTGCCTTCTGTCGAAATGGTTTGAACGAAAGGACCCTCTTCGTAGTTGGTCACGTCCAAAGAATCTTCTTTCTTCATATAATTATCGAATAATAGTGAATTGGGATTCAGGGAATCAACTTTTTCCTCTTCAATGAAGTCATTCTGAGAAATCGACCAAGAGGGAAGCACTAAATTGTCCAATTTCGGCTTAGAAGCTGTGGTAATCGCACAACCAAAGAGCTCGACAGTTCTCTTCGAGTCCCTTCCATCCGACTCCCCCATTAGTCCAATAGCCTTCTTCTATTTAGATATATGCCTAGAGAAAAAACAAGAACCACACCAGAAAAACACGTAGTAATCATCCAAAAAACGACGACTAAAGAAAGCATATCGAGCAGCGAATGAGCTTCACAATTACGAAGAACCTAAACAGCAAAATTCCCAGGAAAAGAAACACTGGAAGACCAGCACGATTGAAGAAGTGGACCAAGATCACATAAAGTTAATGCCTTTCGTACCTTAAAACTCTTGCAGCGCTCAAAATCGAGAAGAATTCACAAAAGGGGAAAGAAAAAGGAAATCCGAAACGAAGCGACGGACGGGGGTCGGAACGAGTAATTTGGGCGCGTAGCAGACCAAATCGAACATCAAGGTTTCGTGTTTGATCCAGCAGCACAGGGTCTCGGAGACGGAGATGGGAGAGGATTTAATTTCCTCAAGTCGGAGAAGATCACATTAGATCGAACCAAAGACAAGAAGTAGGCGAAAACCAATTGGGGGTATCGGAATCGATGGCGATCCTCCTCCGTGAAGTGTTCGTATGGCACATTACAAATATACGTCGCACGGTTTCTAATAAAAGCTATGAGTTTCTACTTACTCCTTGAATTGAAGTGTAGCGTGTATTGTGCCCACCAAGCTCGAAAATAATATTTGGTGAAAATAATAAAGAACATTAAATATATTTAAAGCTTTATTATTCTTAAAAATAACATTTAGAGGGACATATGCGTAATACTATAATTTAGAAGAGCCAAAATATGCTATGAAAGGATATACGTGTAAAATCCTCTAAATATATTACAGTAATAAATATTATGATTTGGTTGGATTCTTCATCCGTTCCCGATGATTCCGAAGGCGGAAGGCCTCGAGGCGCGTGGCGCGATGTCCGAGAAGCCCCGACCACGGATGCGAAGCGCGTAGGAGGGGATCCGACCGTTGATTAAGTACCTGAGAAGTGATGTCAGGCAGTCACAACTGCTGCGTATTACTGGTAATATAGAGTGTTTTTTTTTTTTTTGCATAATAAAATTATCTTTAAGGGAAAAATGAAACATGTAAACTCTCATCTCTAATAATCATTCTTTTTCTTTTAATTTTACACCTTTCGTATACCACTTCCACTACATGTTTTACTCACCAATTAGCTCCATATATAATAATATTATTTATGCTAAGATCCACATGGCAAGTCGATGTTCATGTCTGTTCCCAATCATCATCGTTCACGTTAGTTAGTGTCGAATAAGTCGATGTTCATGTCTATTATTGATTCCTCAAAACTACTTGGCAAATCACTTTATAGGTTTGAGCTCACTTCATCGTATAAATCAAGATTCATATCACATCAACTTATAAACATCTTGTAACATCCTGATTAATCCCACATTAAAAATAAACAAGAGTAAAATTGAATTTATAAGGATCGCAATTGCAGAGCCAATGCTGCCCAACCCAACAATCCCAACTCGCTTCCCACCCATCAGCAATATCACGTTAATAACATATGCACGTACGACTAAACTACTTGTATAAAAAGGACTAGCCAGAATTCTGTGCTCATTACGGTTCAAGGTAGGAATGAAGATAAATCAACAAAATTGGATGGTTATTAGTCACAACCACTAATACTTGCCTACACAGAACTCAATGAAATATCATAATATTAGTTGGTAGACTAAAACCAGTGTTATGCACAGGAGGGGCCAAAAAAAGGAGGCACCAGATTATGACCCTGAGCAACATTTGATTTTTGCTCATCTCTTTAAATCTAAAAATATTAATAATATGATTTTATTGTTGTTATTGTTGTTGTTGTGCAAATCTCCATAACTACCACTGATGATAGTCCTCTTTATTCTCTACTATCAAGCATAGACACTTGCAATAAATTAAATTCCAACAAAAAAAAAATGAGCGTCATAAAAAGGAGATTAAAGGCAAAACAAGGACGCAAGAAAAATAATTTGTTACCTCAATTTTGCTATGATAAAAGGTTCACTTGAAATCATCATAGATGTTGTTCTACCGTGAATGGCTAGCGTGACTCTGCCCATAGAGGCTTCCTCTTCCCTTCTCCTAGAAACGCCACTTCAGTCACCCTTCACCCATCCTAGAGATCCTCCGATAGGTTCCCAATCCTCTCCCAACTTAGCGAAAGGGCCCTTGTTACGATCAATACGACACTAAGAGAGGGGGGGGTGCGCGAATTAGTGCAGCGATAAAAATGACGGTTGTGATTCCAAATCTTTCCGAGTTGATAAAAACGTAACGAAGAAATCGTATCGAGAAGATGTCGACTTGAAGTAAATGTGCAATGCAGACTGCAGCTAAGTAATGAAAGTTACGAGAAAGGAAAGAACATATCGGATTTATAGTGGTTCGATCGTTATGACTTATGTCCACTTCTGATTCCTCCTCCGTCAAGGTCACCGGCATCCACTAATGGTCTTCCTTTAATGAGGCGAAGACCAACCATCCTCTTATAACACTTTCTCTTTTTCACGGGTTTAGGAGACAACCCTTACAAGCCTCACAACTCACTTGAATGATCACAAGACTTAGAAAGGGAGGAGGAGGACACTTAACACTTTTACAACACTTTCACGCCCCAACACTTTAAGATTTTTGTTCACACTTTGTTATACTTTCATGTAGAAAAGAGTGAGGTATTTATAGGCCCCAATGACTTCAAAATTGGAGCTAAAAAGTGTCTCATCCTGGATTTTCAAGGTACTAGTGGTATCATCGCCATTACTAGGTAGTACTACCGCTTGACACCCTGACATTGGGTAATACTATCGCTTGACAAAGCCTCGAAGACTGGGCTCTGGCGGTACCACCGCCTGACAAAATTAACTACCGATAGTACCATCGCCCAGACCACCTGGGAGGCTGAGCCTCAAGCGGTTCCACCGCTTGACTAGGCTCTGGTCACTATTTGGGCCATCAGTCCAGCCCAAACCAGTCCTGATCAGGCCTAATTGGCCCTTAACTGAGTTAGTGGGATTATCTCCCAATCCTAACTCAATCTAAGTTCTAACTACGATAATTAAGGCATGAACTAAGAAATCTTTGTCCGATATGTCAATTGTTCTTCCGGCGAAATCTCGACGAACTTCCGATGAACTCTCGACAAGCTTTTGGCGAACTCCTGATGAACTCTCAACAAACTCCTGACGAACTCTCGGCGAGCTCCCGATGAACTCTCAACGAGCTTCTAGTATATCGTCTGAATCTTCGACGTATCATCTGATCTTTGACTCTGGCCCAACATCTGCTTTATACCTTATTCATTATCGTAGTTAATCCTGCAATACTCTTCTCAACATATGGATTAGATCAATAATTTATTAATTAATTTTATCATCAAAATTTGAGATTCAACAATCTCCCCTTTTTTTTTTTATGATGATAACCAATTGATGACGAAGTTAAGTTTAACTCTCTCTATCTATATATCATATTGAGATAAAGACAAACTTGAATTCAAAAGGAATCACAACCTTTGAATTCAAGTTAAACACTTTCGATCATAGTGATAAAATGCAATATATCATATCAAAATTTCATATATTGTGCATCATTATAGATTCAAATTAAAACATGCACAATTTTAAAACATTATATTTCATCCTCACTTTATGAATGATACCAAAAATAAATCAACATCACTTTGGGCATAACACACATGATACTAAAGCATTCATGATACCAAAATTAACATCATTTTGGACATAACATACATGATGCTAAGACATTAAAATTTTAAGCATTTATCACTTCATGCATGATACCAAAATTAAATCAATATTTTAGTCATGATACCATTTATTTATCATTTCTCTCCCTTTGTCATTAACAAAAAGGAGTATCATTCAACAATTTATGCAAGTATTTCAAGTAAGTTTTACACTAACTTATGCAAGCAAATTTGTGAAATGAGAAGTTAACCAAAAACTTTGCAAGATAACTCCTTTTGCTTTTTGAAATTGGCAAGCTAGCATTATTGCTTTAGATGTATAAATTTCTTTCTTCCTTTTGTTAGAAAAATAAAAAAAAAAGAGGAAAAAGAAGAATGGAGGAATTCATTCATTATAAGAAGAACCATATCCATGAAAATTAAGTTTCATTGAATCAAGCTTTTACTATAGCAAAGAGAAAGGATTCATCAAAAAGTTTAAAGTGTGCATACCAAATCCTTTTTCTTGTAAATATAAGGAAGAAGGATTCCTAGGAATTGATTATCGTATAAAAGATCAAGTCATTAATCCAAAGATCTATGAATCAAGGATCTTCCTTTGTAAATAGAAGGAGGAAGGACTCATGATCATCACATGAAAAATAAGGAGAATACCAAAAGTTCATAAATCGAATATTTTCTTTTGTAAATAGCAAGAGGAAGGATTCATAGGAAACAACCTTGATTTAAAAGAAAAATTCAAGTTATAGAAAAACGAGAAATCCGAAAAATGTATAAAGGAATTCATGCATTTAGAAGATTTAACATGCCTAATTCTCTTCTAATAAAATCAAATTATTCCTCATTTAAAGGTTTTATAAAAATATCAACTAATTAATATTTTATATCAATAAATTATAAAGATATGTCATGATTATTAACATAATCTCTTATAAAATGATGTATAATATCAATATTTTTAGTTCTAAAGTGTTGAATAAATTTTTTTATTAAACATATTGCACTAGTGTTATCACATTTTATAGGTATGTTTTTCAAGTGAATTTTATAATCTTCTAAAGTGTTTTTTATCCAGATAACTTGTACACAACATACACTTGTTACTATGTACTCAGCTTCGGTTATAGATAATGCAACCGAGTTTTGTTTCTTGGAAGACCAAGAGATAAGTGCATGACCTAAGAGTCGACATGTTCCTAATGTGCTTTTTCTATCTATTTGACAACCAGCAAAATCAACATCGACATAAGCAAGTAACTCAAAGTTTTTTGAATTTGGATACCATAGTCATAGACTAGGAGTTCCTTTTAGATATCTAAAAATCCTTTTAACAACTTTTAAGTGAGATTGCTTGGGATTAGATTGAAATCTAACATATAGTCCAACACTAAACATGATATCGGGTGCTCGTTGGTGTGAGATATAATAAACTACCTATCATATCCCAATAAGTCTTTTGATCAAAACATTCTCCATTAGTGTCCATATCTAGTTTTGTAGAAGTGCTCATTGGTGTATTAATAGCTTTAGCACTATCCATATTAAATTGTTTCAATAGATCTAAAGCATATTTAGTCTGACTAATAAAAAATTCATCACTTAGTTGTCTAATTTGCAATCCTAAGAAAAAAGTTAATTCGTACATTAAGTTCATTTCAAACTCTTAGACTCATACTTTTGCCAAACAATTCACACAAAGATTCACTTGAAGAACCGAAAATGATATCATCAACATAAATTTGGACAATGAGATAATTATTTTTAAAATATTTAATAAACAATGTAGTATCAACGTTGTCTTTCATAAAATTATTTTGAATAAGGAAAG